GTGATCAGGAAATGGGCTTCCCTTTTCACTCTTCTTCTTGAGAAATTTCAGGATGCCACTGTTGGTCGTTTTGACGTAACAGGATTTAATTTTCGGCTTATTTCCTTTTTTGTCTGCTTGTCCTGCTCCTCAATCCCCATTCAGGCCTTTTTTCTTGTTGTAAACAGTTCAGGGCCAGCTGTGACAATTTGTTTTAATTGGAAACTGTCTCTTTAAATTTCGAGGAGATCTGTGCACATGTGTAGTAGAACCCCCCAAGAGTGGGGCTGGGGTGCCCACTAGCTCAGGCACCCCTATAGTTACCAGAATGGAGGTGCTCAGACAGCAAGGGACCAATGAACAGCTACCAAAAGAAAAGAATATCCACACCTTTATCTCTGCGGTTCTGCCAAGCATCTGTGGCCACTTCGATCCTTCCCCTACTTGGTCTTACCCAAGATGGCGGCTCCTGGAGCAGCTGAACAACCCGAACTAGAAAGCAATGGATTTCTTGCTTCTGCCACAAATTTCCCCAGCTGTTAAGCCTTCCAACCTTCTAAATATTCCGTTATATGTGGTTCAGAGTTCTGGGACCATCCCCTGACCTGCTTGGTCCTATATTCTGTGTTATTGCTGGCGGAGCTCTTCACTGCACTTCCATCCAATCCGCCATCTTGTTTGTTCTCTGGATCGTAATTCTTAATTCTAAATTTATAGCTGAAAAAAAATTTTAATAGCCTATCTTTTGGAGTTGTTTTAAGTTTACCAACAAGTTGTTCAGCAAGTCCAGAGTTCCTGTATGCCCTCTCCCCCTGTAAACGTTTCTCCTGTCATTAACATCTAGAATTGGTGTGACGCATTGCTAAGTTTGACGAGCCAAATATCTACATACTATTTGATATACTATTATTAGGTAGGAGTCCTGGTGTGACTCTGTAAGATAAGCAGTGGCTTTGAGTCCACCAGCTGCCCCAAGGGAGAAAGAAGACTTTCTGCTTCCACTAAGATTTACAGCCTCGGGAACCTTGTACAGTGTCACTGTGATTCGGAACTGATCTGACTGCACTTGACCACATTATTAGCTAAAGTTCATAGTTCACGTTAGGGTTCACACTTTGTAGCTGAACTTAAGAATCACTGTTGATCCTCTGGTGCCAGCTTCTTTCTCCATGCCCACAGGGGTCTCTTTACTTAAAATTTGTTTTAAAAGGAATTGCTGGGGGGAAGGGCTTAAGCACACGTAGGCATGGGGTGTATGTATGGGGGGTGCATAGGGTCAGGGTCTGTGAGTGTGCGTGTACACTCTGTGTGAGTTGTTGGCTGTGCCTCACCCTCACTCCGCTACTCCCGCCCCCTCTGTCCGAGTACAGCGGCCATCGGCAGCCCTACCCCTTTGAACGCATGATTTTCGGGGCCTGCGCCGGCATCATCGGACAATCATCATCATACCCGCTGGA